GACTCCCATTTGCTATACATTAAGACCTTATGTTATATCGACTCAAATGCTATACATTTCGTACACTTATTGTCAACTAATGGCTCAACACATAAATATTGTTACCATTTATGGGGGGTTTTAACCCTTTATTTACACATCATTTATATATTAATTTGTGTTTATATATGCATTCATATATAGTGTTACGGTAGACATGGGAAGGGGAGCGACAAGTTTTTATAATAAATATATTGAAATATGTGGTTATTTCTTATTGAGGGGACAATTAAAACAATTATATGTTTTACATTGTATGTGAATTTGCTATTTGTTTTATAACAAGTTAGCAATCGTTTCGTCACAAGAAATTTGGGCGCATTTAAGGTTTGTTTGCATTTGTTTTGCCATTAGTTTTGATCCGATTTGTGCTTCAAATCAATTCAAACCATTGATCGCCGAAGAGATGGCTCGCAATCCGAAAGTAAGTGTCACTGGAAGTGATTGTCACAAACGTTTGATCCATTGATTGATGTCTTCGTTACTAGAAAGAGGACGCGATTGTATTGGCTGTCGATTGCGCCAAAACAATGTGCGCGAAGAGTCTTCGTATGGGATCCGATGAAACGGTGTACGAGTTGTCACAACTCTGTCTCCAGAATATCATCCGACAGAAGATATTCGCCGAAACGAAGAACGAGTATTTGGTGATGGAGTTCGGGGTTGACAGAGACCGGGCGCTGAACGGAATCGATGTGATCCATCAACTCGATGGTGATCTTTGTTTGCCATCATTTAATTTGTTAAGACAATTGAAGGAAGATTCGGATCGTGAGCCCACATCTGATCCATCAAATGGTTTGTGGCATTTATTTGACTTGAATTTTATTGATTAACTCTTTGTTGTATTTGTCGGCCGCGGATGTAGTGATTGAAGTGATAGACGAAGCCATCACACGATTGGTCCAAGAAATGGAGTACAAAGTGTATGCAAACCGGAAGATTGTTTTATTGACAAATTTTGCCACATTTAGTGACGAAGACTTTGATAACTTTGGCAAACATATTATCCAGAAGTTGCGTGAATTTGATATCGAGTTAACGTTAATGTATGTCTTTGTGGTCATTGTTTGATCGATTGAATGTTTTTGTAAACTAATATGATTTTTATCTTTTAGATGTGATTTCACGCCAAACAGTGATTTGGATCGATTGACCACTTGTCAGATGAAAGCCATAGAGTTTATGGAAGTAATAGAGAAAGAGTCTGTGGGACACTATTACGACCTCCAGTTTGCTGTTAAAACTTTTGGTGAATTTGAACTCAAAGAGATTAAATCCAGTCAAACGTATACGACATTAGAGTTGGGAAAGGGTCACAACGCTATCACTATATCCATTGCTTCAATGATAAAGATATATCCATATAAGAAGCCGACCGCAGAAGATGTATACATTCGATCCAACGATACTGCCATCACAGCCGGTGGTAACGGATCCCAAGTGGATGTCAAGCCATCTGTTGTCGGGACTACCGGAACAGTGGTTCCCTTTACTGAAGTGAAGGTTGAAAAAGATGTTACGTTTGTGGCTAAAGACGATGAGTTGATGAAAGCCGTTGACAAAGAAGACTTGCGGTGGGCGTACGCTTTCGGCCAGAATCAAGTGATCATCAGTGATGAGGATAAACATATGTTTCAATATAATAACAATGAGAAAGGTTTTAAAGGATTTAAAATACTTGGTTTCACTTCTATGGAGAACATAGATATCGCGCAACGCATTGGAAAGCAGACCAATTATTTATATCCTCACCCGAAGCCCAAACAAGATGGTCACCGATTGGTGTTTCAGGCATTAGCGGCCGCTTTGAGTGATAAGAAAGAGGTGGCTATTGTTCGCTATAATTATAGGGATAATACAAATCCACAAATCGGTTATTTAGAACCCGTCACAGAAGAGGATAATATTTTTCTCGCTTACCATCAGTTGCCGTTCAATGAAGACATCCGTCGCTATCGGTTCCCTTCTCTGCAAAGTAAACCCAATAATAGTCCCACAGAATCCCAATTACAAGCCATGGATAGTCTAATTGATTCGATGGATTTGATGGACGCAGATGTCGATGACGAGGGAAACTCGTGCGAAGCTTTGCTGTCACACGAAATCTCTGATCCGTCTCTTCAGCATTGGTTCCAACAGCTATATCATCGACAGTGTTATGGAATGGATTCCCGTTTTCCTCAAGAAATGGCCGATTATCTCAAGCGAACGATTGACTCACCGCTTGTAGTCCGAGAGAAATCTATGGATGCGTTGGAATTATTGGCACAACTTTTTTCGCTCGCGTCGACCAAATCGATGAAAAGGAAGATGGCTTTGAAATCGAGTCAAACGACGGTAAGTGTTGAAAAATTGGAGCCAAAAAGAGCTAAAATTGAAGACATGAATGAAATGGAAAAGATTTTATACGATATAAATGCAATGATTAGAAAGAAGATACCATTCAATGAATTAAGTAAGAAATTTGATAACTCTTTGCGAGAGATATTCGCAGATTGCAAGAAACTCGAAGTCTATGGCGAAGAGATCATTAATTTGATTGAATTGTATCGCAATGAGTCGGTTGATAAGAAAGAGTCGATTGCTTTCAATGAGTTTATGTTAAATAAGATGACAGAGTTTAGCGGACAAGATATTTGGTATCTATTGCTCGCCAAAGAGATAACACTCATCACCAAAACTGAATCCCCGGACAGTCAGTGCTCTCAGGAAATGGCCGATAATTATACATCAATTAGTTCTGACAAATCATAATTCATTAAATCATTTTGTTTTTGATTATTTTTTAAATTGATTATAAAATATTTAAATAAATTTTATTTTTGAATTACTTTTGAATACAACTTTTTTATATCTTATAAATTGTAAATCTAAACATGAATTGCATTATAAGTTATTTGTTGAATGAATGAGAATTATATGTTCGTTGAAATACTAAATATTATAATAGATTTTGCATTTCTATGAATAATTAATGTGTTTTTAAAATATGATTTACGTTATAAGTTATAACATTATTGTATTAATTGTGTTGTGGACTCCCCTATAAGTTATAGCCTATAAGTTAGTTATAATTTTGCAATAAATTAAAAATATTAGTTTTTCCCACATTAACGAAAAGGACTTTAATTATTTTTTAGTCGATGATTGAAATCAATTAATTGATTTGACAGACTGTGTAAAACAGATGCCCAATAGATATTACAAATGCATGGCTTGTCGTTATTCGGTCCCAAATATAGCCAAACAGTGTTTTGAGGAAGTGATGGTATGACTCACGAGGACACCTGTAAACCGGGTAAATAGTGATTGCAATCATAATTTCTATGCAAATCATGTAGACATTGATGATCTAAAGACTGAATACGATTATTTCAGTTTTGTGTATTTTATATTAATATTTATTACAGAATTTATAACTTTAAAAAATAAGAGAAATATCCACAAAAAATAAAATAAATTATTTTTGATATTTTAAATCATTTTTGAACCCAATTTTATACATAATTATGAATTTATTGTATATAAAATTCAACATGGTTTTGAATGCACTTCAAATTCATATATTCAATACAATTATCTTTTTTATACTATATTTTAAAATATATGATTGAAATTATAATATTGTGTTTGAAATATACATTGAAATTCTGTTTTTTTAGATTTACAAGTTAGACAAATGTTTCACGTTTTTGAAACAAATGAGAAAAAACTTATTTAAAAAATAATTTTTAGTTAAAAACGCAATTTTAAAGAAGATTAACATGTGATGAAATTATAGTCTAAAAAATAAATTATATCAAGACTACTTATGATTTAATAAAGTTTTATTTAGTCTAACGGTTAGTAACTAGTAAAACATGTACAGTAAAGGTATACTGTATATCGTTTTTTCATGACTTTAAATACAAATCTAATGATTAAAATAACAAGGATTTGATTAACTTTAGTGAAGTTTACAACAATGTAACAAACGTTACTGTACTCAGAACTTAATTGATATTTATTAAAAAAGTAATATTTTCATTTCAACAAAAAACCATTTCTATAACACTTTATTGTCGGAAATTTATTACATGTATTCAATAATAACTTCAATAAAAAAATGTATATAAAAACTGAATGAAATGAAAAAATGATTGCATAAAAAAGGAGGAATAAAATGTGTGTCAGTGCTATGGATA